AGAGATAAAGTGTGTGATACAAATGGTTAATTTGATTTTTATAAAAAGCCAACGTTGGAAAAAATACTTTTTTAACTTCCAGTCAGTGAGAGAATATGTCAGAATTAAAATTGACAATAATTTAGAGAAAATGTCCCCAAAACGCTGAATTTTTTTTTCCTAATTGCCCGCAATTTGTCCTCTACAGGGATATCCTGATGCATGCTCAATAATCCAGGTAGAAAAATCTAAAAAAGTTAAATCTGGTCCTCTGGACATTCAAAAAAAAAAAACGAAACAAAGCAAATCAACAAAAAAATGTAGAAACGTTTCGTCTCTCATCCGAGAGACTTCCTCAGTCTGAGGAGCTGTATTCAGCTCAGTCTCTTAAATAGCACCGTCTCAGGGTGGATCAACCAGTTTTGCTGCTGACAACCAAAACCAGCTGATCACATGCTCAAGAAGGACCATCAGCCTAACAATGGATCATTAGCACACTGATGGCTGTTTACTACTCACAGAGGGCTGAGTGATACTAGCAATCACAGCATTGTAAGAGGGGGACAGTTGAACCCGGAGGCCTCCACCCCTGTTTAACGATGGACGATTTCTTTTCACAAAGATGGCCTCCTTTACTCCTCTCTCAAACCATCATTCCTCTCTGTCCAGGATGTGAACATCTTCATCCCTGAAAGAGTGACCGCTGGCCTGGAGATGAGTGTAGACCGCAGAGTCCTGGCCTGATGATGGCAGGTTGGCTTTCTTGGACTGTGAGGTCTCAGTCTCTGATAGAGGACATTTGCAAACTGAGGTGTACCGCAAACCCACACACACAGACCAGTATTTGCAGTTTGACTCCCATCACCCTTTGGAGCACAAGTTAGGAGTCATCAGGACTCTGTATCACAGAGCAGACAGCATCCCCACTAGCTCAGGAGCCAGGCAGAAGGAGAAATCCCACACAAGACAGGCTCTAGAGCAATGTAGATATCCTAACTGGGCCTTCCTGAAAGCAGAGAAGAAACCCAAACAGGACTCAAGTCAGCCAACAGGTGAAAAGGAGGAACCCAGACCAGTGGTCATTCCATATGTTGAGGGAGTATCAGAGAAACTGAGACGTTTATTTTCTAAACATAACGTCCCAGTGGCTTTTAAACCCCAAAATACATTACGGCAAAGACTGGTTCATCCCAAAGATCCAGTCCCCCAGCACAAACAGAGCAATGTTGTGTATGCTGTTCAGTGTCAGGAGGGTGATCAGTCTTACATCAGGGAAACTAAACAGCCACTGGCCAAAAGGATGGCCCAGCACAGAAGATCAACATCATCAGGCCAGGACTCTGCGGTCTACACTCATCTCCAGGCCAGCGGTCACTCTTTCAGGGATGAAGATGTTCACATCCTGGACAGAGAGGAATGATGGTTTGAGAGAGGAGTAAAGGAGGCCATCTTTGTGAAAAGAAATCGTCCATCGTTAAACAGGGGTGGAGTCCTCCGGGTTCAACTGTCCCCCTCTTACAATGCTGTGATTGCTAGTATCACTCAGCCCTCTGTGAACAGTAAACAGCCATCAGTGTGCTAATGATCCATTGTTAGGCTAATGGTCCTTCTTGAGCATGTGATCAGCTGGTTTTGGTTGTCAGCAGCAAAACTGGTTGATCCACCCTGAGACGGTGCTATTTAAGAGACTGAGCTGAATACAGCTCCTCAGACTGAAGAAGTCTCTCGGATGAGAGACGAAACGTTTCTACATTTTTTTGATTTGCTTTGTTTTTTTTTTTTTTTATGTCCAGAGGACCATATTTAACTTTTTTAGACTCTACAGGGATAGTTGATTTTCATCAAAACAGATGGAATTTTTTTTTCTTAAAATAAAACTGTCCAGACCATTAGACTTGCACTATTTGTGTTAGAAGCCTTCAAAAGACCAACTGTTAAATACCTATAGAAAACAGGAAGTGACTTTGTTTACATGACTTTTATTGCCCTCATTTTTCATCCTAGGAACATAAAAGTCACACCAATGTTATAAGGAAACTAAGCTTTGCATTGCTCAAAGTAGCAATACTCTCATCAAGAGTAATAGTCTGTCCTCAGCTGGCTATTAACATCTCCATGGTAACCTTTACTCTGACTTAAAACACTCATTGCTTTGGAAACTTGAGTGCACATTTACATGTTGAACTTAACCTAAAGACACTTAGATTAGATTCGGCCTAAACCATTTTAGCAGGTAGCAAGAGACGGCATGTGCAATTCCACATTTGATCCTAAGAAGTGATTTATCCAATTTAAAAGTTTGCCTTATTTATTGCCCTAATTTTTGTCAATTAAACATTTTTAACAAATGGTAAAAAATGTGATTACATAAAGATATTCCTTCATATTTTCGTAAAGCACAATAAAATATAAACATGTTTTTATTAGAGCTTGCGTACTATTCTCATTTGCAGTGTTGTGCAAGACCTTTAAACTAATTGGGTTTTTTTTTTTTTTTTTTTTTTTTTTTTTTTTTTTTGCTTTCAAACCAGAAAAAAAAAGAAAAATATACCACCAAAACGTCTTAAATCAGTCAGGGGTCTATTGTGGTGTCAAAAATCAAGACCTTAACAGGTCTTTGTCAGTTTTCTTCATTTGCCCTCTGACCTAAAGAAACTCCCACCTGGGAAGTTTGGAAGCCAGATAAAAATAAAAAATCTTAGTTGCATTTTTTAACTGGTTCTTGTTAGCCTTTGTTTGGTTCACTGTTGTTCTGCTGAGGTCGGTGTTACAGTAAATATTTTTTGGGTTTGTGTTAAATATCAAATTTTTTTATATTATGTATTTATTTTTTTATTTAGAACCATTTACCAACAAAAGTCATATCAGGACACTGCAAAGAAGTAAGAGGAAAACATTGAATATAATACAGAAAGGAATAGCGGACCAAAACCTCACTTGAACGGGAGCAATACAAGAACAGTAAAAACCATAAATGTTGGGTTGATTAGTAGACTAAACAATAAAATCAATTAAATGTACACTTTTAGAGTGATTAGTTTTTAATATAGTGCTGTTAAAACGTTTCCATATTTCTAGTAGCATTATGTCTATATATATATGTCTATATATGTCTATATATATGTCTATATATCTTTATTCAGTCTGCTGAAGACACACTCACAGGGCTGAAGTTACATGCAGATCTAAAATTAAGTAAAAGGGATGGATAGTTCTGTGAGGTATTACAGCTGGTAAGGATAGCTACAGCTCTCAGCCTGTGTCAGACCACACCTTCTGAACAGCACCTCAACAAGTTAGAATGAGGCAACTGCATGACAGGTGATGTTGAGGCTGTCACTTTCATAGCCCAAATGTGCAAAGCTTTATTAGCAGTAATTGAAACATAATACCTGAGAGCACATGCATATTTTTCATTGAGCTATAGATACAAGAGTGAACATGATTTGCTGTTTTTTTTTTTTTTAATTCGCTTGCAATTTTACAACTTCAGCATCTCATATGGAGGTTCTGAGATGACGGCTCTATTAAGAATGAAGAATCATATAAGCAGCTTTGCAGATGCATGTTCTCAGTGCTGCAGTGTACATCAGACTTTTACATTTCAGTCACATTCATTTAGTTATCTATTGTTTTGAACTGTTGTCTACTACAGGCTGTAGTACACAGTGTAATATCATCCCTACTTGTTGTAGAAGCATCTCTATAACTTGTAACAATAAAAATGCATGCCTGAGTCCTGCATAAGTCATTTGACACTGTGCTGGATGTCAGTTGATTTTTTTTTTACCCATTGAAGAAAACCTACTAAGGATTGTTTCATTAAAAGTAGTTTAGGCTATTTGACTTGAGTTTGTACACAATTTCCTGCTTTGTTATTTTTTTTAAAATCAGAAATAAATAAAAAAAAAAAAGAAAAGTTTGTACACAGATGTATTTAAGCTCTAGTGTAAAGCTGTCTGACGTAACACATTTCAAATATGTGTTAGTTTGATTTCACTACCATGTCACAAGTGAACTAAAGTTTGTAGATACAAGTAGTACCGATATTTACGATAAGTTTAATGTTTTAGTGGTAGGTTGAGATTTTGACAGTATTAGGGAAAATAAATGTTCTTCCATCCTTGTGCTTTTTTGTTGTTTTTGTTTTGTTTGTTTTTTTGACAAAAAATTATAAACCTATCTTTTGTCTAAGGCTTATTAGATCTAAAATGTTTGTACCATTGAAGTTCACATATCACTTAATGTGTTTTTATTCTAAGCCGTTAAAACTCATTTTTTTGTTATTTTTGCAGTTAATTACATTCTCCTTTACAGAGTGCTTAGGCTCGTATTTAACTGCATTTTTATTTGTTATATTGATTTTTACCACATGATCAAGCTGAACAAAAGAAGCTGACACACTGAGACTCTAGAGGTCACACTGCAGCAAACATCATTGTTGTGGTTCCTGAGAGAAAAGATGTTACTCGTGTGATTTCCACACATACTCGCACACACTTTGAGCCTTCAGCGTGTTTAGTACAATTGTCATGTGAGAAGTGGTGTGTCTGCAGACTTTGAAGAAACACAGATACATAGTGACAATTTGAAATGACCTTGTCAGTGTTTGTCTTCTAGTGTGGCAAAACATGTTGGTGTGCATGTGTCATTTCCTCCTCTGGGCTCCTCCAGTGTGTTCGTTTATCCTGCAGGCCATCGACTCATTTCATTGTTCAATATCTTCTCTCTCTGTCAATGTTTGTGTAACATCATAGCTTTTCTTCAGCTGTTTGGCCAGAATGTGACAGAAGCAATAACTTTGAATATCTGTTTTTGTCTAGTTAGCATTTTTTAACCACTTTTTTTTATTTTATGTCAAAATGTACTCATCGGTGTGTTTTTTTTTTTGTTTGTTTTTTTTATTGCATACATTAAAACGCTTGAGTTACGGTGATCATTTTTGGTCAATTCTTCATGTGCAGCTTAACCACACAGGATTTGTACATGCATAAAACTAATTTGAATAATGTTTCCATCAGTGTGTGCAGAGGCAATCAATCCAGACGAGGATGACGAAGACACTGAGCCCAGAGTGGTTCACCCAAAAACAGATGAACAGCGCTGCCGACTGCAGGAGGCCTGCCGAGACATCCTTCTATTTAAAACACTAGATCAGGTATGAATATTGTTAAAAGACACAGAAATGCACATCTTTACAAAAAACACACAACTTTGCAGCAAACTGTGTGTTGATGAGGGCAGCACGGTGGTGCAACTGGTAGAGCTGCTGCCTCTTAGCGAGCAGGTCCCTGTTTCAAATCCCAGTCCGGGCGCCTTTCTGGGTGGAGTTTGCATGTTCTCTTTTTGCATGTGTGGGTTTTCTCCGGGTACTCCTGTTTCCTCCCACAGATGTTGGGCTGATTGGTAACTCTAAATTGTCCCTAGGTGTGAGGGAGAGTATGAATGGTTGTTTGTCTCTGTGTCCCTGTGATGGACTTGCGATCCGTCCAGGGTGTACCCCGCCCCTCACACAGTGATTGCTGGACATGGGCACCGGCGACCCCCGTGACCCAAAATGGAAAAGGCGTGTAAAGATAATGGATGGATGTGTGTTGATGGGTGGCTAAAAATGTACAGAAACAGAAAAATTTATGTTTCAAATAAATTCAATATTAATACCATCTGTGAAGAAAAATACTGTAGCTGGCTGATTGTGATACATGCTGTTGCTCTATATTATATCACATGAACAATAGTACCAGTACATACATTTTATTGGGGAAAAAAAAGTTCAATATCTTTATTATCTTACAGCTTGATTTTTTTTTTTTTCATTTAGCCTTTATTTATCCAGGTTAGTCTCATCTTTATCTTTTTCTTACAGCTTGATTTGCTGTAATTCTATTAAACAGAAATCCAACTGTCCATGTAGCTACAGTTATTGAGTTCTTATGTGTTTGATTTCTTTTTCTCATTAAAACTACTTTATTGTAAATTTCCTATTTGGATTCACATGTAAAGTATCTTTCTTCCTTAAAACAAATCTAATTTTTACAACAATCGTATTAGATTTTATTGTTGTTTCCTGTAAAGATGTGTTTTGTATTTATTTATCTTTTTTTATCCTTTAATGTCCCAGAGGTGGCAACAACATTTAGAATTCTGTATATTTCTTCATATTTCTTAATATTATTATCAACTTGGTGCCTTACAGGACTCAAAATGTAGCATTTTCTTTGTAAGATTTGTTGAATTGTTTTTGCCATGATAATGAAGCTTCATCTTGTCTGTATCCAGGAAAAGCATCCTCACAGTTTAAACAACATTTTAAGTTTGTTTTACAATTGCTCCTCAATTCTCTTCATTTTTATGTAATATTTCTTGTTTCCTCCTCCAGGAGCAGTTCTCACAGGTGCTGGACGCCATGTTTGAGTTAAAGGTTCAGCCCCTAGACCATGTCATCGACCAGGGACACGATGGAGACAATTTTTATGTCATAGAGAGGTAGGCATCAAACAGTCATGATTAATTTATTAATAACTATGGTTTACAGCCTGAGTAAAAATCAATATCAAAAGACTCTCATGTATACTTTATACTTTAATATACTCGGTGAATGGTTGAGTTAGAATGGCTTCATTTAATTTAATAATGTGGTATTGTGTTCCTCCTTTCCCCTAGTTAATGGTTTTACTACAGCAGTTTTTTTCTTTTGTGTGTCAACCAAGTTTGGTTTTGTTTGACGTTGTTTGTGGTGGAGCTGAGTTACTGGTAAATTAAACTGCAAGGAATTTCCACTTTTATTTAAACACGAACATCAATTAAAAATTATCACACTGTGTACAGTATATGTCCCCTTGCCCAAATTACAGATTAAAAAATAGAATAATTGTATTTTAATTGAATTTAACACCTAACACTTTTAAACAAATACAACTAATTACTTGCGGCAATTAAAATGTGATTTTCCTTTTTTAAGATAAAAAGTAAACTCTAGTCCTTTGTAGTTAGTCTTTTTATTTGACACTTGTAACTTGCTTCTGTCTGCTTCTACGTAGACATATGCCCTGTATGCAGACATAAAGTCTGCCGACTGTTTGTGTCATTTTCATGCTGATCTACATGTGAAAACAAAGTGCGTAAACTTTTCTTTCATTGTGCAGATATTGTTGCGTTAGAATATATCCTTAAAATGAAGGAACAACTTTGTCATTTTCAATGTAAAAATTATACTTAAGGCAACATAACATCAAGTTATATGTATTTGGTTGTATTTATTAAAAAATCTAAAATATATTTCAAAATGTTTAGTTTGTGCCATGTAAAGGAAAATGGATTTATCAGTGTTTGGCCCAAATTTGCCTCTATTCTATCCTAAAATGAAACATCAGTTCAGTAAAAAAAAAAAAAAAAAAAAAAAAAGTAGTTTCTCTTGGGCACTATCATTGTATGTGCTTACATATTTTCCAACATAACTGACTCCCTGCATAACATTTGCTGTGACATAAGATACCAGGCCTGTCTGATTCATTATTTCAAGGATTTCTGTGCTCCATAGAAAGTCATAATTGAAGCTTATGCCTTCAGCAGGGTAGAATGTGAAAGAGAAACACAGAATGTTGCAGGGATTCACAAAAGGCATAAACAAAATACACTTTCTGATTGTTTTTGGTTTTGTACTTTAATTTTGTCATTGAGCTATATTTAAATACTTGTATATCCTCCGCACTTCATAGTGTGTCATTATTTTATTTACTGACCTCTGGTTATCTTTACCCGTATGTTAGCTCTAAACTGAGGGACTCTAAACTGTCTTACAAGTGTCTGGCAGCATTTCAACAAAAAGATAAACAGTCCTGATGTGAAGCCTATGAAATGAGAAGTACATGAAAACTCCACAAACCCTCAGGCAGAAAACTTTGCACCATCATTACAGAGGATATTTAAAACATGATGGGAATCCTTTTTGAGAAATATCCTCAGACTAAAAACAACTTTTCATAGTTGGCTTTCTATATTTTAGGAAAGATAAAACTTTGTCCACCAAGGTGGAAATTTTCCTTGGGCAGTTTTGATTCATTGGTCATCCCCCATTCTTTTATATAGTTGACTGAAATATTGACGCTTTAAATTTTCTGAAATACTGTAGACATTCACAAATGAGTGAAGTTTAGATCCCAGACTTTATTCTTATGGTAGAGGTATTTTCTTTTGAGAAATTAGATATTACTAAAAGTACTGGTCATGGGAAGCCCAGACAACAAGTTATTTATAGACACACATACTCTCAATCCAGCACAGCACCTATATTTTTTGTTAAAGCACTAGGCTATAAAATTTATTCTTAACGTTGCAATTTTTGTCTAAAGGTCAAAGTAAATTGGAGTTGCTGAAATTCATTTGTTTCTTGCTGTGTTCATTAATCTGTCTTTTCATTCAAATAGTAGGCGTTATTTAAGCAATATTGTCTTCTTCCTTTAAATTGACTCCAACTTGACAAATTCATCGGTGACCAGAACTTTTACATTTGTTCCGTGTGTAATATAAACATTGAAGAGCACAGTACAACCGGACATAGGTTGTCTGTTTTTACTTCAGCTAGCTGGCAGCACAAGTGACCACTGTCCTATGGTCATGGTAATCCAAAGTAAGATTATACTCCACCAGCTATCAGGGTTTTAGCCTCTTAAACCAATGAGAAGACACCCTGTCTCACAAAATGACTGGTTAATCCAGCCAGGCAACATTAATGCAAATTACCATCCCTATCTATAATCCTCATACAGAGGGAAAGAGAGAAGGAGGACAGAAGGGCTTTGTGGAGCGTTATTCTACATCAGCAAAGTATGCTTTTGTACTTTGTGGACTTTGATTTTTTTTTTTTTTTTTTTTTTTTCTGAGTGCCATAAAATCAGTTATTGTTGTGAATTAAAATTGTATAAATTAACAAACACTGACATAGGTTTTGATGTTGGTCATTTATACTTTTACAAGTAAATCAGAGATTTTTAAAGTTTCATAAATAAAATTGTAAAATTGTTTCTCATAGCATACTTATTGACAGTGGTGCTTGAAAGTTTGTGAACCCTTTATAATTTTCTATATTTCTCCATAAATATGACCTAAAACAACATCAAATTTTCACACAAATCCTAAAAGTAGATAAAGAGCCCAGTTAAACAAATGAGGCAAAATATTATACTTCGTCATTTATTTATTGAGGAAAGAGATCCAATATTACAAATTTGTAGTGGTACTACACTGACAATTTGTACTATGAGTCACAATAGATGGAAACTAGGGGTGTCTCAATACTGTTTTTTTCAGACAGAGTACGTGTACTTTAGGTTGGGTACTTGCCAATACTGAGTGCTGATACCATGTAGTTAATGAGTTAGTACGGTACTTAAATATTAAACAATGACTTTAGACACACATTTCTTTTATTAAGAACATAGCTAACAGCCTGCTGTCCATATATATCTAAAAATGTCTCTAATCTATGTACATAATATTTTTTGTCCTCGGTTACTTGCAAAGTGGAAGATAAAATTATGTCACCAAGTATCAGTCCAAAGTATCACAGTGTTTTATTTGAGTACAAGTATGAGTACTTGAGGCCGGTATCAGGCCCAATACCAGTATCTGTATCAGGACACCGCTAATAAAATCCGTCAAAAATGTAAAAACTGTTAAAATGCTCTCGCCTTTGTTTGACTTTAAGCTCACAAAACCAAATATTTCACTCACTGTTTTTAAAAGAAAAAGTTTTTATTCAAAAGTTGTAGATGTTTAGTAAACAAATCACTCTCAACAGCACATAGTAAAAACGTGAAATAAAATCCAACATATGGATCAAATATTGAAATATTTGCTCTTTAGTTTTTCCTTGCATTGTTTCTAACTGTCTGTTCTTCTCTGCAGGGGTGTATTTGACATTGTGGTATCAGGAAAATGTGTGGGTCAGTATAACAACAAGGGCAGCTTTGGGGAGCTGGCGCTCATGTACAACACGTCACGTGCTGCTACGATCATAGCTACAGAGGAGGGAGCACTATGGGGCCTGGTAAGAAAGTGACAATAAAACCACCAAACAATATGTTTATGAGATGTTACTGAATTTATTAAAAGTAGAACATGATCCAAGTTCTTATTGTGGTATCTATTAAGTACCATCCATATAATACCTCACAAGCTGTTTCCTTATTTCCATTTTTTCGACTTGTACTGTAAAGGTTGAGAACAGTTTCTTTCACCATATCAGGTACAGAGAGCTGTGATGCTCAAACATGTTAAGAATGGATTTGGTTTTCTATGAATGGAGCCATGTTCAGTCTGATGCGTGGTGCTGCTGCAGCACCTCACACTGGACGAGCTCAGGATGACATCAAATGGTCTTGTTGAGGTGCATGTATTTTTTTTAAACATGGGTTTGTTTGTTTTCTTTCTCTGTGTTTAGGACCGTGCCACATTTCGTAGACTCATTGTAAAGAACAATGCAAAGAAGAGGAGGATGTACGAGTGTTTCATTGAATCTGTGCCATTACTCAAGTCTCTGGAGGTGAGTTTAAGTTGTAAACTAGTTAAAATTTATTATTTTTTTCTATTGTATTTTGGTATTAGCCTTTTAAGATAAAATTACCATCATCTTAATCAAAATCTTTTTAGATTCGATTTAGATTTAACCTTTTTTATTTTTTCAAAACTCACAACTAAGCTTTAATTTATGGCTGTCAAATAGAAGTTGCTGAGTAATGTTAGACTGTTGGAGCTGAAGCAAATGAATTGATTAGTATTTAGCTTTGGATGGTCAATGGCCTAACCTTCCTTGCTCCCATTATTAGTTTGTTTTATTTTATTATTTTTTTACCTCCCTGCTATCATTTTTTTTTCTGTCCAGGCAACAGAAAGGATGAAATTAGTGGATGTATTAGGGGCAAAGCAGTTCTCAGATGGCGAGCGCATCATCACACAGGTGAGAGACTGCAATATTACAGCTTTCTAATTGTACAAGAAGCACATGATTACATGTCTGTATATTCATGACTGTGTGTACTCTCTTCAGGGAGACAAGGCTGACTGCTTCTACATCGTAGAATCTGGAGAGGTCAAGATCATGATGAAGAGTAAAGTAAGATGCCTATTTTTATCTTTGTTCCTTCAGTTTTACTACTCTGTTTTTAAATTTCACCTTTGTTAGATCTTATTGAATTCTGAAAAGGTGTTTTTTTAAGATATTCACTACTACTATAACTGATCATAATCGTATAACAGTTTCTGTTCGAGATGACAAATGACAGCCCACATTCCCTTTAAACTCCACCAGGCTGCAGAATGGTTTTGCAGGTTTTGCCTAGCAACAACAGGAATCACCATTGTCTGCTTCAGCTACTGAGGGTCTCTCACTGGGTGGGATTCAGAAGGTATTTGAGGGGCTTCTAACTTTGAAGTAAGCCTGTACTCTGCTCTTCTTGTCCCCTGCAGACAAAGGCAGACCATGCAGACAATGCAGAGGTGGAGATCACGCGCTGTAGCAGGGGTCAGTACTTTGGGGAGCTGGCCTTGGTCACTAACAAGCCCCGGGCCGCCTCAGCCTACGCAGTGGGAGATGTGAAGTGTTTGGGTAAGACATAAAGTACTTTGAAAAACTTACTGAACACATATCATCATCAGTGTGAAGACTGTACACAAGAAAGCTCATCATGAAGTAAGATGTGTTTGCATGAAGTCGTTTGTCTTTACATTCCCAAAAACTTTAAGGAAAGTGATTTCCAGTAACTTAAGCTCTGTTAACTTTCTTTACGAAGTCTGTTGTGTTAATTTTGTTTATTTTTTTAAAGCCTGGTTCATACTTCAGAGTCAGAGTCAGAGTCAGAGTTTCTTTATTGTCATTCGCACCACATGTGGTACATGTGGTGGAGCGAAATTATGTACACAGGGTCCCAGTTACATCCAACAATAAAATGTATAAGAAAAACCGTAATAACATCTAAGATATGAACTAAGAAAAACATCAACTAAATATACACTAAGCACTCATAACATAAAACATTGAACATCAGCACAAACATGAACATGAGTCTGTGAGCAGATGTGCACGCATGAACACATCAACATTGAAACAGATCAGATCAGCAGCAACATGATATGGTTTTTCACAGTGATTATTCTAGTTAGAGATTCATGAGTCTAACAGCCTCAGGGTAGAAGCTGTTCCTCAGTCTTCAGCTTCATATAGAACTGATGAAAAGTAAACCGCTGAGAATTTCAGCAATATCTGTTTATTTCCCACCAATCAAAGAGTTACACGCAGTTTGTTATGTGATATCAAGTGACATTTGTTTTGAATTGTTTTCAATTGGTGTCCATCTCAGCCACCATTATTTTGAAGTTTATGATAATTGAAGGCTGTTCTGAAATTGTTCTGGCCTTAAAGTGGGTGTCCTAATTCAGGCTCTGCAGTGGATAAGTAGCTCTTCAACTTTAAAACTGAACAGGATTTTTAACAGCTGTGGTTGTTTCTGTACTCGCTCTCATTGTGAAACTTGTTTTCTTTAATTTTTTGTTCATGTACGTGTGTGCGTGCATGTGTAATAAGTGGATATTCTACCAGTCTGTCTTGCTCTGTGCTGTTTTCCTCACTGCTGAGTACAACCATGTACACACTGTCCATATTACACAACATACCTGCGACTTGTTTATAGTACCAGCAGTAACAGTCTGTCTGCTACAGCTGCTGCTTGTGAAGCTGAGAAATGTCTGCCTCCTTACAGTGTCAATATTGTCAGGTGTTCTTTCATCATTTTTACTATTCTCCTCTGGCTCCTGCTGCTGGAAAAGATGAAATAGGACAATTATCTGGACTACAAAATATATTTAGCTATTCTAAATCTTAATCAATCTGTTGGTCTTGACAGTCTTTCACAGAAATCAGTTTTACTCATGCTGAAAACTTGGACTGTTTGCTAAAGATGCATCTGAAGGTTGAATTTGTTTTTTTAAGAGCCTCTAGGGTTCGAGCTGTGCTTTTGTATGAACACAATTTTCCCCACTCTTTTCCATTTAGTGTATCCCAGCTGCCCTGATGTTTACTTTGTAATCCCATCACTCAGTGTTGCTCCTCTGTTTTCTTAGAGACTGGTCTGGGAGAAACCATGTACTGTAGCGTATTAGCTCAAAGTTTTACCATTTATAGGAGGACAAAGCAGTCTTAAAGTGTGGATCAATCCATACCATTTTGGCCAGTTTGTCATATGAAAAACTGGTAAAATTTTAGGAACACTTTAAGTGGCAATCTAATTCAGTACAGCAGTTTTATGTCCTCTTTGTTTGCAGAGTGAGCAAAGAATCTATGACAACTTATGTTCTACACATCAGCTATCAATGCCTTAAATAGAGTTAATTGGAAGGGACTAAAGAAGCATAGCATGTAATCCTTTTGTACTGTTGCTTTGTTTTAATGTTTGAGTAGCTGACAAATAATATTTAACTTCTCTCTCCCTCTCCCTGCAGTAATAGACGTGCAGGCTTTTGAGCGCCTCCTGGGCTCCTGTAAAGAAATCATGAAGAGGAACATCGCCCACTATGAGGAGCAGCTGGTGGCTCTGTTCGGCTCTAGCATGGACCTGAGAGACTGAGCCTCCCACACCATCCTCTGTGCCTTCTTTTACACACACACACACACATACACTGACACACACAAACATATGTCCACTCCAACATCATAAAGTGATAATATGGACTAATAAACTTTACATATGGTGCATAAGCATGGGATAGTGTACTTGTCTCGCCTGCAGGTACATAAAGCCACACAGTTTGAAAACACTTGCCCTCTCTCATAAGTGTATACACACACATACATGCATGCAAATACATACAAGTGGTAGGCACTGAGATATACACTCCAAAAAGTCTGCTTAACCCTTGAGCAGACACTAGCTCTACTGATTCTTGAAGAAACTGACTTTGGTTAGGTGCACACACACATAGCCTAAGCTAAAGGCCACCCAACTCGTTGCTTGAACCAGCACCTCTCAGTATGAATGTCTTTGCTGCAGGAAAAGCAGTGTAAGGACATGAAGCACACACACCATATACACTCAAAATCACATCATTATGCTCCATGCGTGCAGGCTTTCCATTCACATGAGCGCTTGAACAACTGCGAGTTGTTCCAAGCCTCAGCCAAGGACACATCAACATGCAGGTGCACATACACTGGGTTACAATACAGATGCTCAAAATACACACACACACACACGTACATTGTGATGAAAAACAACTTCAAAATATTTCTGAAATGGAAAATAAACAAAAAAAAATTAATAAAAAAAGAGTTTAAAGACGAATATGTTTTAGAAACATTTTATGATGATTAAAAACAAAAGCTTTGATAAAATATTATTTAAATAAAAAGTGTTTCCTCTTTGGGAGGCTGAGGCGCAGAACTTTGTGAGCGCACTCCATTTTCTTCCTCTACTATTGTTGAGTTGAGTTAGTGCTGGTGATTATTGCAGTACCACAGAGGAAGCTGTGAAAACAACAAACCTACATTTTCTGGGCCATTGTTATTCTGTAAGACGACAAACTTCATTGTATTGAATTAATTATTAATGTATTGATATTATATATACATATTTTTGTTTTACTTTGACAAGTTCCAGATAAAATTTACCATCTATCTCTGACAAAGTGTAAAAACGGGGAAAAAAATCTAATAAACATAGTGCTTAATTCTCCTTGATTATCCCTGAATGAGTTGTCCTGGATTTAAAAAATGTTAAATAAAGTGAACATTTTGGTAACGATTTTGTGTCGTTCATTTTGATTTTTATATTCTTTAACACAACCGTTTCAGTTCTGTGGAAGGAAGATGTGCATACTTGGATGATTCAGTCATTCAGTTTACAAAATAACATAAACATTGTGGTTTAAAGGTATTTTCAGGCTTATTGTCCTGCTGTATTTTTCTTTTATGTACATGGCAGCTATTGGCATTGTCATGAGAAATAAATATTAAAATGTCTCTGCTCTTTCAAACACTGTTGGCACAGAGGTTAAATGTTAGACTTAAATATTTGCACAGTAGCTTTTTTTATAGCTGGGAAAAAAAGCCATTCTCTGTTGTGCTCAAGAATGCTCTTAATTTTAAGAAGCTTGTGTTTGTAAGAAAAAAAATTAAACATATCAGTCAAAATGTTATGTCCCCTTAAGTGTTCGTAAGACCAGATTTGTAGCTTGAAAGCACGATGTTTGACAAATGTCAAATATCACTGTTGATTTACCAGATTTTTAGCTAAAATTTTATAACATCCTATAAGATATGATTTTAAAGCTCAAGTCACCACTAGATGAATTTTAATGAAACTTAATCATTTAACATCTACAACTGATTTAACTTTTTGAGTCAACCAATTTCAAGGTGGCTTTAAAAGCTAATAAATCTTAGCCAACACAAAAATACTTTAACTCGGTTCACACAAATTTAGTTATCCTCAACATGTACTTTAAGCTGTTCATGTGGCTTGAAACTACTGTAGTATTTGATGTTAGTCAACCCTTTGTTAGCAATTTGTTAACTAATAGACTTGTTTAATAAAACTTGGAAAATTATTAAGTATATGGGGGAATGGTGGTGCAGAGGTTAGAAGATGAGCCTACAAAGTTGTCTCAGGGCTCTTTACAGAAACATTCACATACATAAAAGCCAATTAGTAAAGTTCTCTATCTAAGGAATCCAGCAGACGAGTTGAATCTTGGCTTCGTTGCAGTCTCCCATCCTGAGCAAGCAAAGTGGCAACAGTGGAAAGGAAAAACTCCCTTTTAAAAGGAAGAAACCTCCAGCAGAACCAGGCTCAGGACAAGCGGCCATCTGCTTTGACCGGCTGGTTGAGAGGACAGGAAGGAGCGACAGACGAACACAGAATGGTAGGTCCAGGTATAGGTCCAGGTGTATCTGAAAGACCAAAAAAAAAAAAAAACATGTTAAGGATAGAAAAAAATATTTACAAATACAAAACAGGTTGAGCAGAGTAAGTAACGACAGTAGTAGAGTAAAAAGTGTGGTCAGTTTGTCCTCCAGCAGTCTAATAAGCCTATAGCAGCATAACTAAGGGACAGCTCAGGAAACCCACGCCGACCCCAACTATAGGATTTAGCAACAAGGAAAGTCTTAAGCCTAGTTTTAAAACTGGATAATGTGTCAGCCTCACGGACAGAGATTGGAAGTTGGTTCCACAAGAGAGGAGCCTGATAACTGAAAGATCTGCCTCCCATTCTGTTTTTGTAAATTCTAGGAACCACAAGTAAACCTGCAGTCTGAGAGCGGAGTGCTCAGTTAGGAAAATATGGAACAATAAGATCTGTAATACAAGATGGAGCTAGGTTGTTGAGAGCTTTGTAGGTTAGAAGTAAGATTTTGAATTCTATTCTGTACTTGACAGGGAGCCAATGGAGAGAAGCTAAAACTGGAGAAATATGATCTCTCCTACTAACTCCGGTTAAGACTCTGGCAGCAGCATTTTGGATCAACTGAAGACGTTTTAAAGAAGTATTTGGACATCCAGACAGATCTACAAAATTTGTGTAGTGGTAGCTGAGAGTCATGTACAGTACAACTCATTCCGAACTTGAATTTTTCAATACTGTACCACCTCTAAACAGGAAAAGCCCCGGTGATGTGCATTGCTTTAAGAAATAGGCCTTTATTTTTTATTTTAATATAAGTGTAATACCACTCCCATCCACCGGGGGTTGTCGTTAGATGTGTCGCCGGAGTGTCGATCCCTGACGTTTACAAACACTGGCGGTGCTTTAAACAGGAACTGACACTGGATCAGATGCTGAGGACCTGCGTTTAGGCTGTTTTGACCTTGTAGCGAGAATTTGGCTGACCACAGATCAGTTGAGTAAATCCTGACCGAGAGGACCAGCTCCCTAACCCTCATACTTAAAATGTAGGTAAAGTTTTATTGTAAGAAGTAGCAAAACGTGCAGTTTTGTTGTGAATTTGACATTAAACAAGGCGGTTTTTCCTAGAACACAAGCCAGCACTGCGGCCCTGAATGCAGATTTAAATTTAAGAACAACATGGAGGTTTTCTGATTGACATGCATCTGCTTTTACTTACCATACATGGAAGAAAGTGGAGGCAAACGAGACTCGTACAGGACATGCATGAGAGTAAAAACACATGTTCATGACTGAGTGGAAAATATAATAATAATGTTGTTTACAACAGACTACGTTCTCCTAAAAGTCGAGAATATACCGACATATTTATCTGAATTACGCTCCACATCCTCTACTTTTTTATCAATCGTTATTCACGTACTGGAAATTTTAAGGAAAAGCGTAAAAAAGGCTTTAAAAATAAACATAAAGCGTTGAAGTATCAAAAGATGAATTTGTTTGATTTTGCTCATTTCAGTGTGCGTCAAGTACAAGTACAGTATCGCTAACATGTCAGGGTTTGGGACTGAGTTTAAGTGTTCAATGCGCATGCGCGACTTTTCTTTTCCGTGCACATCAACAGTATTTAACATTTAACTAAGATTGAAACCTATTTTTAACCTAAATCGCATTGTAAAAGTAGCGTTATACCGTCTCCGTTTCTTTTTTGTTATTGGAACGTCGCACTTTTAACTGAACAAAAACGATTTAACAAAGAAAGCTTTTCAAATGCCGCCATGTTCCCACAATGCATAGAGCGCCAAGGAAAAGGAAACTTTTCTTATATTAAATTATCTTACGACTAACATTTTACAACTCGTTTAGAGACTTATATTTTTATTTATGCTATTTATACACGAATAATGTATCCAAACCTTTTGATTTCGGAATGTTTATGCATTTTGTAGTGTTTGTCCAAGTACTAGAACCGTGATGTAAGTGGTTGTATCCCAGAATCACCTCTGGCTCTGTGACTTCTGTCCCTCAGATCACTCTTGTTTCTCTTCAGATCGTATAAATCTTTCGCCTTTTACTAAAGATTTCCGTGGAGAGGAACAACAAGAGTTAGACTCAATTTTTAGATGCCCCGCTAATGTTGGGCTTCTTATCAATGTCCAATATAAAAACTTTATCTCAATATATTTCTGGTAAGCATAAGAGTCTGATCCTATTCTGGTTGCTCCTGAGGTACAAGTTCTCCTCAAAGAAGTGCCTATGTCACACTTCAACCTATTTACGAATGGGATTGAGTTCCAACTAATCTAATGCAATTTGATGTGATTGTTAACACTCAAATCAGATGTTGAGGGTGGCTCAGCTACTACCACATCAAATTTGAACTCTTAACTTTGACTAAGGCATAGGCCGTCTTGAATTGAGTAGACCTCAAATGTTTATCAATTTTAGACATCCACTTTGAGAGTTTCATTGACATCTTGTACTGCGGTTCATGAGATATTTTGCTAACAGACATTAGCATTTGCTGCCATTGCACTTTCAGCAGAGAGCAATAACTTTATAACGCGTAGGTGTGTTCGAAAGAGTAAGAAGCACAACGTGAAGCGCTTTGTGGAAGTAGTGTCCACCATTTACCACAGAGAGCGGTTCCTTCTGCTGTGTAATAATCAGTCAACTACTAGTTTCCTGTTGCAGGACAGAACGTGAAAAAAAAAAACTGTCCTGCAGCAGTGACAGCCTCACATCTGTTTGACAGTCGGACATTAGTCTCCAGCCTTCTCTGTCGGTGAGTCTGTAATTTGAGTTATTGGGGGGGGTGTTGAACTTGTACAGTTGTTCTTTTTTTGTTTTTAACATAAAGGTTTTCCATCTGTTAATTTAGCACAGCTTCAACTTTGTGCCTTTATAGTCATTTAAATGTTGAGGCTAAGCTTGCTAAAACAAATTATGTATTGTCTTTTGTCCCAGTATTCTCTGCTCTGATAATGGAAGGTAACAAATTGTTGCACCCTGACTGTCTTCATGCATGTGCTCTCTGTACGTCAAAATGACATCATTTACTAATACTGTATCATCAGTGTATAAATAATTAGCTTGAGTTTTAAGCAGAAGAAATGAACTGATGCTGTTTTTTTTAGTGTATTTTATGGAGTTAACTTTACTTCTATAATTACCAGTTCAGTATTTTATAGCAGCTGTGTGGTGAAACATGTCAGATAACGTCAACTTCCCCATGATGGTGTGAAAGATCAAACCACTAGATTAAAGATCGACAGAAAACATCATCTTTATGCATTCTGATAAATGTATACACTATAAATGTATTCATATTTATTGTTTGAGAATGACTGAATCAAATGGCTTTCATTCATGGTTTTGTGTGACTTTAAATACTTATTTTCGTCACACTGAGCACTACTTGGGTTCAGCCAAAGATAACATGAGGTTGCATCAAATTATAGGAAAAACAGAAAATGACTGCTTTTATTGCTGAATGAATCTTCTCTCCCGCTGTAATCACGCTGTAAACACAAACTGGAGCTCCGAGTTTTATAGTTAGAAATACATATGGGCGGACCCCATGTCAAAAAATGTGTCATCTGTGCAGTATCAAAGTAATATCATATTTTTGATGCAGTGTTAATGAGTTAGCAGCACAAAGAAAATGTTGAATATTTACCTTAAAGTCCTTGAATTTATTGCAAAAACGCTGATGTGACGATTGCCTTCTGCGTACTTTCAGAAGAACAATGCGCATGCTGACACATCTCTTGTCAAAGTTCTGACAGAAGCAGAGGAAATGACAGAAAACCGGATCATTGCACCGGGTCTTTAAACCCGATGACCCAAGTCGAGTGGTATTCACAACAAAATGCACAAAAGGTGTAAAAGTTTTACTGCAGATGCTTTCAATGCTGCTCATCGTATTCACTCCATCCTAATGAGGTTGTGTCTGTGTGTATGTGCGTTTGCCTGTCTGTTAGCAAAATATATCATGAACTACAGGGTGGAGTTAATTAAAACTCGAAAATTAATCATTGAAATTCCGGAGCCACCTCAATTCAAGATGGCCACTGCAGCTAGTCCGCATTAGCTAGCACTAAAAGGGCTATGCCTCGGTCAGTTCTGTAAAAAAAAAAAAAAACAGCTAAAATTTGGCGTGTGAGTCGTCCTGAATCCCATCATTCAAAGCGTTTGCTTAAACTTTCACGTCACACAGTCAACAGTCTGTTAGTAAAATATTTAATTAAACTTTCAGGAAGGTATCGCTGAGTACATCTACAACTACAAAGTAGATGCCGTTTTCAAGATGGACGCCGGCAAATCTATTTTTATCTATTTTTATCTATTTTAGGCTCTATTTTACTGAAAGTGACAGACAATGAGGTAAAGTGTGGTAGTAGCTGAGAGTCGTAGCTTGTGTCGTTGTGGTGGAAGTCTTGGCATGAAAAGATAAAGCCTTTGCTTGGACTTTAAATGATTTAGTAATTTTAGGTTTGATTTTCAGTTTTAAAGTCAAAGGGTGTGTCTTCTTCAGACCTCTCTTGTGAAACGGTTTGCTTGTGCAACATTTTGAGCTGCATAACTTGATCTAAGACTGACATGAGTCCTGATTGCTGCAGGTCTGAAGTTTTAACTTCTTCAGATTCCAGTCTGGAGAGCAGAGATGACCCGAACCACGACCCGACCTCAAACCATCAGAACCGCCACGAGGAAAATGGCCCAACTCCCGATGGAGACGTTCAGGAGAATCCACATGCACATTCCAAGGACTCCAGGAGGTTTTGTGCGGTTCCGATCCACCACCGCCCGGACCTGCTGGTTCCCTGCGCGGACCTGGTCAACTCCGAGTGGCCGAGGAGCCAGGCGGCCCGGGTCCACTCCCTCCAGAAGTCCAGCTCTGAGTTTCCTGTCTGTTTGGTTCTCCTGCAAAGACACAGAGGGGTGGAGAGGCTCCTGGGCCACGTGCGTCTGACCCGGGTCGTAGGACTCAGCGGCAACCTGTTTGTCGAGTCGGTGGTCGTGGCCAAGGATCAGCGGGGGCGGGGCTACGGCCGGACGCTGATGGAGGAGACGGAGCGCTACGCTAAGCACAGAGGGTTCAGATGCCTGTGCCTCACCACCCACGACAAGCAGCACTTCTACGCCCATCTGGGCTACGTGCTGTCCACACCGGTGCAGAGCAGGGGGGCGGTGATGGAGCTTGTTCCCATGGCGATGCTCATGAGGCTCTCCAGACCTCCGAGCGAGGAGACAAACGCTCAAATGCTAACAAAGACGGGCGTACAAGATTCACAAGGGAGCAAAGACTCAGGGGGGGCTTCTGTTGTAGCAACATCTCCTACCTCTAGTCCTCCTCTTCCTCCTTTACCTCCTCCTTTATCAAAATCAACCCCTCCCCCTCCTCCTCCTCCTCCTCCTCCTCCTCCTCCTCCACAGCCTGCAGGGCAGCCTGTAGCTCAAACGTTGACTGAAACTCCCTACAGAGATGCTAAAGGACTTCCTATCTTTTGGATGCACAAAGACCTTTAACCTCTGTCAGAACCACCCGAGAGTTCACCCAGACAACATAAAACTAATAAACTTATAAATGCTATGAGACAGATGCAGGAAAGGAGCGACGACGGAAAATCTTCATACTAAAATCAAACAAGAAAGCGTCTACTGAGCGAGAGCGTGGTTCGTTTATTTGTCAGAGATTGATAATGATTTTATTTTTTTCAAGGTTTGACAACAACCGCTACAACTTTCTGATCACAACATGAAATTAGTTTAAATGTTTTGGATGAAAGGCAGCAGGCGATATGATGAATATACGTTGAAACGTTGGTCCTGTTTGTTGGTTTCAGAGCTTCAGTGTGCAGATCTAAATGTGTTGCTTTCATGCTCGTATTTATTTATTTTGGTCCACTCTGCTCCTCAGGAGTAAATCCGTGCATGCTGGCACTGCTGTCAAACAGCTTTATAATGTTTTCTAGTGTTGGTAAAGTTGTATAAGAAATTAATTAAATTTGTTTGAACATGATGCAGATATGTTATTGGTGTTTATTTGTTGCATTTTCTTTCAGGATTTTTAATCAATTATTCAATCATTGTTATCCTGTTTATTAATTTTTTGTCCTCATCTCTCATCTCAGAAAACAAATGTGCACCAAAATGATAGATTGGAATAGTGTGATTTGACTTTTGGCAGCGGTACATCACATAAAACAGAAGAAAAAAAACTGAGAGAAAAAATGACTGATGGATCAAAACCAGATTATAAAACAGCCCATTTTGGAGAAGCTCTACAGCTCAGCCAGACTTCACTGTAGAAACATCTAAACGGGTCACAGACGTTGGACTTTACACATTTGAACTGACATTTTGATATTTTTATTTTTTACACAAATCCCAGTTTTAAGTTTTCATGTTTTTACACATTTTGCAACTCACTGATGTTTATGTCACACACTAACTTTTGAATTGTCTGAGTTTTCTAACCAAAAATCCTCTAACTTCCACAACTCTGTTGGGTACATATAAAAATTCTAAATCAAAACAAAAGATGCTCTTGTCCTCATTCATCCATCGTGTCTCTCACTACAGTAAGCCTTGAGGTTTTCCCTCAGGTCCCCCTAGACTACAAAGCCCACATCCAAGCTTTCACAGACGATATTTTAGTTCCAAAAGTTCTCGTCCAAACTAAGTGAAATGTCTTTGTAACTTCTCATACATCATGTTGTGGGAGTTACAGTTTTCTCCTGCAGCCAGAAGTCACAAGATTGTGCCAACTAGCCACACCTGTGGACCATTCCCTTAATGAGCTGCAGAAGTATAAATGGCAGTAGACGACTTTCCTTCGCCGCTGGTGCATTACCTGCCAATCACATTGACTCCTGTGTTCCTCCTGTGCCTGGACATCCCTTATTTGGTCTTGGACTCCTTGTGACTTCTTCAGCCACTCCTCATCTTCCATCACTTACCCACCAGTATCAGGGACTTACCTGGGACCCTGTCCTCTGTGATTATTGGAACCATTGGACCACCATTCCCACAACAATCCCTTAATCCATCTGTAAGAGAGAAATTACATCTTAATCATCCTAAAGGTTAAATCCACTAAACTCACTCTTCTTCTTATCCTTACACAATGGGGGCAGTGGAAGATTGTGTCTGTCAATATTGTCGGTCGAGGATGTAGAAGACATATACACAATTGGATTTATGATAACAGGATTTCTGCTTTTTGGAGTTGGTGGTTACCTAGCATATCGGCAAATGAGAAAAACGTCGGCAGCTGTTCTGGCCATTGTGAGGTTGCCCGACTTGTGTGATGGAATGTGCCGTGCGGTGAGCATTCAGACTCAAATGCTGAGCCATAAGCTGGATTTGATTTCTAAGAATTGCAGGCCACTTGCGACTCCTGAAACTCTCTGGCGAGAAGGAATTGACCTTAGAGAAGCTACAAGCTCAGCCTGGTGGTGCTGACCACAAAAATTTGGTTGTTTGGAGTCACCATTGAGACATACCAGTAGAAGTATAAGGCAGACCGAAATCAAGCAGAGTCGGCCTGACCCAAAAGAACTGTTGTTATCTGAATCTGGCTTCCCCATGTCGGCCTTGAATTGGCCAACTATCTCAAACTCTCCTGGATGTTATGTGAACAAGAAGCTCTGCTTCCACCCTCCCCTACCCGCTACCTTCCCGAGGACATCTGTGGACCTGTGTCAGAGCTGAGCCGGCTGATAGGCACTGCACCATCTCTTATCAGGACTATGGAACTATCTGGCAGCGTCCATGGAAAAACTTACCGCCTTTGCCGGCCTTCCTCATGCATATGTAACAGTGTTTTGTTTTTATATTATAATAGATGTGAAGTTTGGCAAAATTGGTTAATTGATTCTTCAAATTCATTTTGTTTAGTCAAAAAGTTATTTTTCCTGACATGTATTGGTATATAATTTATGTTGTGCTGCTCTTGACAGCTGGTGGTTACCATAGCAACCAGCAACTGACAACTTGTCCCCATTTTCTGGTGTCGTCTGTAACTGTGGTATGTATTAGGATAAGCTCTATTTTCTTCACAAGTATTATATTTTAACATATATTTTAAACAAATTTACTTATATACAGGGTTTCTTGTGTAATTTTGCCATGTTTTGTATGTTTTTAACTGTTATCATAATTAATGTTGTGCATTTTAGCTGTGTTTAATTTGACAACTGTTAACTGCTGTTAACTGTTGTCAACTGTTCATTGAGACCTATTGCTCTGTAGTTTGTTTAGGGTTATTTGTTGTATTTTATTTAATGTATAGGGGTAGAAGTTACTAGACTGATGTTAACCACCAACTTGATTTTCTCTTGCCGGAATAAATACAGTGAACTTGAGTGTGTCTGTTGTGAAGCCAACCTACTGGAACTGAGACTAACAAAGAGGGTTACACACATTACAATATCATCAATATGTTGCCATTTCGTTGCCATTTCTGTGATGAGGCTCTTTTATTTATTTTTTTGCAACTTTCACACTGTGTCTAGGACACAGTGTGAGATGTGATTTTTTTACACCTCTTCCCTCATGTTTCTCTTATCTAAATGAAAAAGGCAGCGCCTCCCACGAGGCCGCAGCCTCAGACACCTCCGTCTCCCCTTGTTTGTTTGTGTTTTACTTGGACAGGCTATACTGAAATGTAATTTCATTGTACTTCGGTGCAATGACAGTAAAGCTGATTCTGGTTCTGATTCTTATCCTTACTCTCCAGGGTTCCAGTCCCTTCCATCCGTGTTGCAGATTGTTATTATTTGTTCAATGTAAATAAAGCATTAATTCTTTATGGTCTTGGAGTCTGTTCCTTTCAGTCACAACTATCTGGGTACTTGGTAATTGTTACACATGTATGAAACAATAGAAACATAGATATGTGTGACCGTCAGTCTTCTGCTGCTCACGGTTCAAGAATCTTTCAGATCTGCCTTGCCCTTTTTTGCACAGTGACTGTTTGAGGCTTACTTTTCAGTCTGTGTTTTTGACTGCTTCTCTAGTTTGTTAGTCAGGGAGTGACAGTGGTTATCGTGACCACGAGTCAGCGTCTAACACTTCTTACAGAGTTCCCACATCAAAATGTCTTGCTTAGACTATCACAAAGTTGGACTTTACGGCAGTAGCTAAGTTGGCACATTTCAAGATTTCTGTAGAAATATTCTAGTTAATCATTACCAAAGACCGTTTAGTTTCTTGTGAATGTAAATCACTCAGGATGTTCTGTCTCTCCTGTCAGGAAGGGCACACCCACAGATGAGCAGCCATGGTGCTGTCTCTGCTTCCTCTTCTCATCCTCCTGGTGCCTCCTTCCTCCTTCGCCTCCTTGTCACAGAACCTCACCCGTCCAGGTGTCCTCTACCGTAAAACTCTGCCTGCTGAGGCTGCCGCTGGCCTGTTTCTGCAGAACCAACCCTTCACCGTAGTGTGGAACATGCCCACGGCAAACTGTCAGAAACAACACAACATAAAGCTGGACCTGGAGGAGTGTGATATCGTGGAGAACTGGAAGCAGCGCTTCCAGGGACAGGTGATCGAGTGACTCTATGAAGTGTCCAAACATTTTTTACCATTCATCTTTTTAGAAAGCCTATTAAAACTTATCCAAACCCCTTTAAAAGAGTATGGCTCCTCGCATGCAAAATATAAGTCTTCTTTCAGCTTTTCCCTCTTCAGGGGTCTCCACAGCGAGTCGTCATCCTCCATCTCACTCTGTCCACTGCATCCTCTGTCCTCACTCCAACTAACTCCATATCCTCTAACTGCATCCAGATATCTCCTTGTCTTTTTGCATTTCTAACATCCTTCTACCAATATACCCACTGTCCCTCCTATGATCATGTCCAAATCATCTCAGTCTGGCCTCTCTAAAATATAAATAAGGGAATATTATGTTCATTCTACCATTCATCACTTTAATTTTAGATTAATAAACATTCAATTTGTTGCTGTTTCAGTATTCATTATTTTGCTGATTTCACATTTTCTGGACACTTTTTTAAAGTATAACTACATCGGTCTATCACTGGGTGATATATTTTAGTTAATTGTGCTAAAATCTTCAGCTCACTTTTGTTTTGTTTTTTGCAACTTTTGCACTTTTCAAAATATTTAAATCAGATCAAATTTATTTATATAGCACATTTAAAAACAGCTGTTGTTGACCTAATGCATGTGTACATAATGCAAATAGAATAATACAATACAAAAATAAATAAATAAAAACATTTGAAAATATGACAAAAAAAATAAAATATAAATAAATAAAATGAAGCAAAAATATCAACTCGAGTGTTAAATTAAAAGCCAGTGGAAATGTGTTTTAAAATAAGACTTAAAAGCTCCAACAGTTGAAGCCTGTATAATAAAAAGGGGCAGCTGATTCCACAGTTTAAGACTGAAAAGACTTGATCTCTGTGGAACAGAATGGACCGCGGGACAACCAGAAGATCATTAGATCTAAGTGATCTAGAAGGAACATAAGGCTGCAGGAGGTCAGACAGGAGCCTGTCCATTCAGGGTCAACTATAAAACTTTAAAATCAATCCTAAAAACAAACTGTGCCAATGAAGGGAAGTGAGCACTGACAAGACATAGTTATGCTTTGTGTTCATGTTAAAAGACGTTCTGCAACGTTCTGGACCAGCTGCAGTTCTGAGAGACCAGCCTGGCTAACACCGAAATACACCGAGTTACAATAATTTAGTTCAGATGTAATTAAAGTGTCAATCACCCGTTCAAAGTCTTTAAAAGATAAAAACAGTTTCACTTTAGATAAAAGCCTCAGTTTTAATAAGGATCTTTTAACTACATTTACTTTTATTTACAAAGATTTTCTTATACATTCAGATTTCTTCAGTTCCTCCAAAAACTTTGTTCTGTTTCAAATTTGCTTCAGCACACTTGCTGTTTTCCTCTTTAGACTTTTGCTTCCTTTAGCTTTATGCTCTTTTGTTACTTTTAGCTTCTAGTTAGCATTTTGCTACTCAGCTAGAATGAGATGGAGGAGAATGAATTGCTTTGATGACGTTTGAAGATGGAACAGCTGAAAAGAGAAGAACTTTAGCTAACCTTTTGCTACTTTTACTTTTTTGCCTGTTTCTGTTTGAGTTTTTTAGAAGTAAAAGAAGCTAGTTAGAAGTAGCATTTTACTACTTTGTACTCTAGCAGAAACTTAAAAATAAAATCCACTTGATGGTGCAGAAGCTGCAATCCAGTCATCAATGCGTGTAAAACAAAAGAACAGATGGCTAAGAATGTGCAAAGCTGCAGAGTTTGACAAACATTTGTTTAAATATTCATATATAAAATAATGTTTCCAGAGAATGACCATCTTCTATCGAGACCGCCTGGGGAAATATCCATACCTGTCCCCCGACGGCAGGGAGGTGAACGGAGGCCTCCCCCAGCTCGGTGACCTCTCTGCTCACCTTTCCCTCACAGTGACACAGATGTCCGTCCTGCTTCGTCCCGACTTCTCTGGGGCGGCCGTCATCGACTGGGAGGAGTGGCAGCCGCTGTGGGAGAGCAACGTGGGGTCCCAGATGGAGTATCGGAGGCAGTCCAAGCTGCTGGTGAGACAGGAGAGACCTGACTTGTTGGAGAAGGACGTGGTGCTGTCGGCACGGCAGGAGTTTGAGGGGAGCGCTTGGAGGTTTATGGAGGAGACCATACGGCTGGCGGTCAGGCATCGGCCCAAAGGATTCTGGGGCTTTTATGGGTTCCCTTCTTGTTTTAATAAACACAAGAGAAAAACAGGTAGCAAACATGAGCTGAGCCGTTTGGTGATCTGTTTTTACCTGTAATTTAATGAATATTTATCAAATATGGAGAAATATTTCTCATATATTATAAGTTGAATATAACTGATTATATCCTGATGCATGCTCTATAATCTATAGATAAATGAAACAAAGTTTAGTCAGACCTTCAGTGACCTTTAGTCTGAGCAGCTGCAACAAACTCAGTTTTATAATCTAAATCTAAACGGGCCTTCCTGAAAGCAGATAGAAAACCCAAACAGGACTCCAGCCAGCCATCAGGTGAAAAGGAGGAATCCAGACCAGGGGTCATTCTGTATGTTGCAGGAGTTTAAGAGGAACCGAGATGTTTATTTTTTAAGCATGACATCGCAGTGGCTTTCAAACCCCAAAATACATTACGGCAAAGACTGGTTCATCCCAAAGATCCAGTCCCCCGGCACAAACAGAGTAATATTGTGTATGCTGTTCAGTGTCAGGAGGGTGATCAGTCTTACATCGGGGAAACTAAACAGCCACTGGCCAAAAGGATGGACCAGCACAAAAGATCAACATCATCAGTCCAGGACTCTGCGGTCTACACTCATCTCCAGGACAGCGGTCACTATTTCGGGGATGAAGATGTTCACATCCTTGATAGAGAGGAACGATGGTTTGAGAGAGGAGTAAAGGAACCCAACTGTGTGAAGATAACTCGTCCATCGATAAACAGGGGTGGAGGCCTCCGTGTTCAACTGTCCCCCTCTTACAATGCTGTTATTGCTAGTATCACTCAGCCCTCTGTGAATAGCAAACAGCCACCAGGGTGCTAACTATCAATTGTTAGGCTGATGATCCTCCTTTTGCATGTGAACTCGTTCTGGCTGTCACCAGCAAACTGGTGGATCCACTGTAAGGTGCTGCTTGTAAGACTGAGTTTGTTGCAGCTCCTCAGACTGAAGAAGTCTTGTGAATGAAAGACGAAACATTTCAACAAAGAAGAATTTGTCCAGAACACCTGAATTTATCTTGTTAGATAACTGATTCTAAAGACTTATTTGTCTTTTTTTGTCTTACGTTTTGTGTGATTAGATCAAACGTACACGGGTCGTTGCCATAAGGGGACCCGGCAGTTGAATGACCGGCTGTCCTGGCTCTGGACTCAGTCCACAGCTCTGTACCCGAGCATCTACCTGCCGCAGAGACTGGCAGGGTCTGCAGATGCAGCTCTGATGGTCAGGTACAAACATCTACATGAAAACATGACACCCTGATACTATTTGTAGTGGAGTTGTTGATTATGATTCAGAACTAGCAGGATGTTCAGAGTGGGATTACTGATTCCGTCTTTGACACTCAGACACAGACTGCTGGAGGCTATGAGGGTGGCATCAACTTGGCGTCATGGCAACAATACCATCCACACCACACCTGTCCTTCCTTATGCCCGACTCGCATTCACGCACTCCCTTAACTTTCTCAATCAGGTAGCAGCTAATATGTTCAAATCAGCATCATTTATTGGAAAAGATGGACTCCAAACTCTATGTAGCATGACTGTAAGTGTGTGTGTGTGCAGACAGACTTGGAGCACACACTCGGAGAAAGCGCTTCACTCGGTGCAGCTGGAGTCGTGTTGTGGGGGGAGATGAAATTTGCCAAATCCAATGTTTGTGAGAGAAAGTATCCGCCTGTATTTGTTTGGCTTTCTGTGTTTAATCATGTTTCCTTCTCCCACATTCCAGCAACAGTGCATCCTCCTCAGAAATTACATCCACAGCACCCTGGGTCCATTCGTTCGGTCGCTGAGGTCTGACACACAGCGCTGCAGCCTCCAACGTTGCCATGGCAACGGGCGCTGTGCCAGGCGACGCCCCAGCTCCGGTCTCAGTCTGTCTTCCGGTCGCTCCTCTGATCCTCATGGGGCAGATGAGTCCAGCAGCAGCAGATACTTTCAGAGACACTTCACGTGTCAGTGCTTTCCAGGCTGGACCGGACCCGAGTGTCACGAGAAGAGTGGACAGAACCACGATTGACCCAAACTTCTCAAAGAGCCGTCAGTCTGCATCCAGAGAAATAAAACCAGCAAGGGCCCAAATCTTTGCACTTTTTTGACAATAATGTTAAAAATAAATTTGTTTTAATTAATCACTGTTGAAAAACATGTCAAATACACTTTAACATCTATTATATATTTTTTAATTGTAAAAAGATAAAATATGTGTTTTATTTTAATCTAAAGTAGAACATCTGAAATGAAGTATTGAGTTTATTTATTACAGTACTCTTCAAAAAAGGCAATACATCTTTATAAGGTCAATAAAAACTGTGCAATGATGCTTTAAATCAATGAAAAGCTTTGTTTATTGAAAAATAAAATGGAAATAATATATAATTATACATTATTTTAGATTTCCTTTGATATTTTTTTGGACCCAAAACGTATATATATATATTTTAAGTTTGAATTTATTAACATTTGTCTGCCTTCATATAATAATATAGACAATACTTCAGGGGTTCCTTTGTTTGGTTGGTGTTTTTTTTTTTTAAACAATTAAAATAGCGATAGGTTTTAATTGCAGGCAGATCATCGTAAAATAAAATAACAAAAACTTTATTGCCTCTGTTTCAGGAAATGTCAAATTGCAGATGCTGCTACGGTGGGTGCAAGTTTTTAAAACAAGACATAAGATGAGCTTTTAAACTCTGTGTTAAGAGGAAAACAAATTATTTATCTCTCACTCTCTTTTTTTTTCTTGTACAATACAGCAACTAAAAAAAAAAATCTATATTTTTGACTCATCACTGATGATGATGATACTCCCCGTCTGAAATGACCTTTAGCCTTTAGAGGCTGGACCTCAAGTTTCTATTTATATTGTTGTCTCTGTTTTGTTTTCAATGCGTCAGTACTTTATTATTTTCATAGAAGAAGTTAAAAGGTTTACAAAACTTCAAAATGGCTCAATATCTGCAAAATTAACTCACTTATTTTACAGATATTGAGCTAAAACTGGGTGTTATGGTAGCTGAGTGTCATCCTCAGCTCATCCTGATTAGACTCAATGAAAATGTGACTTTTTGGCATTTACTTCACCAAGGAATTTAATTTAGACTTTTTTTCCTCTTTTTTGTAGCTAACAAAGTAAACTACTGAAAAAACTTAACATGATTAGCAGTTACAGACTTTGCTTTGTAATAATCTATAACAATGTTGGTTGTTCAATAGTCTGAATATTTATATTTTATAAGTGACTCCCTCTTTCATCCATCCATCCATTATCTTTACCCGCTTATTCCATTTTGGGTCACGGGGGTCGCTGGTGCCCATGTCCAGCAATCACTGTGCGAGGGGCGGGGTACACCCTGGACGGGTCGCAAGTCCATCACAGGGCCACATAGAGACAAACGAGACAAACAACCATTCACTCTCTCACTCACACCTAGGGACAATTTAGAGTTACCAATCAGCCTAACATGCATGTTTTTGGTCTGTGGGAGGAAACCGGAGCACCCGGAGAAAACCCACGCATGCACGGAGAGAACATGCAAACTCCACCCAGAAAGGCCCCTGGACCGGGGTTTGAACCAAGGACCTGCTCGCTGAGAGGCAGCGGCTCTACCAGTTGTGCCACCGTGCTGCCCGACTCCCTCTTTGTTGTATAAAAATTAACATCAGTTGGCATCTCAGGAAGAGGTGGTCCATTTCAAAACTTTGTTCCAAAAGCACACTGTGTTGGACAGGTAATAAAATAAAAAAATAAAAACATTACTTTGAAAAACAACTTTTTATAAAGATTAGAGACATTTGAAATTGTCACATTTAATCTATAAACACTGACATTTAGAACCAAAAACACATTAAATACAGTTTTAATCTTTTACACTTGGAAAGTTCTTAAAATCCTGCAGGTGGAAACACACACGCACACACTGTGTGAGTGTTTGTGTGTGTGCAGCACATGATGTGTAGAGTGTCTGTTCCGCTCATGTTCTTCATGTTCCTCGTCTCATAGCTGTGAGGTTCCGGTTGAGTTCCTGCAGCTCCTGGATCAGCAGCGTCAGCTCTGTGGCTGCTGCCTCCTTTTCCTTCACGGCCTCAGCCAACATCTGGATCATTCCGCCCTGCTGGACTGCAGGAGGAACGAGCACAAATATGCTGTTTAGTAAATATTTCACTAACTTTGATTTGTTATTTAAACAGTGCAGTTATGAATATATTAAAACTATGCACCTACAAACTAAAAAAACAATGTTGACTTGGAAACAACGTTTTATAATCAGGATTACAAGTTTGAGATTTGAAAAGACAAAATTAATAATAGTAGCAGAAAAATAAACTAATTTAAAGAAATTAATAACTAATGTTTTACCACATTTAGTAACTAAATGTGGTAAAACAACAACTAAAAGCTAAAATAGGCTAAACTGTATAGCTAAAGGCCAAATGAAGCTGGATAGATAAAACCTAGAAGAAGCTGAACAATAGCTAAAAGCTCAACTTAGCAAAATTTGCATAAAAAGACAAAACAGAGCAAACTACTGAACAGATTTCAAAAATGTTTTAAAGGAGTTGAATAAATCTGAATGTATTTTATGAGGATTTTAAGATAAACAAAATAAAGTCAGTAAAGGTAAACATTCAAAAAGTTACAAAAACCAAAAGTCATAGCACACAGTACTCACCATCAAGCTGCACTTAGAATGGTTAAAATTGCACAAGTTTTCAAAAGTAGATTGATTGAAAAGAAGTAAAGAAGAAACTATAAACGGGAAATAAAACAGTATTCCAACAAGTAATAAGATCATGGAGCAGCAAAGCATCCAGGAAGTAAAAGCTTCATCACCTAAGAAGTAGAAGATGAGCAGCACTGTGAGGAGCAGGAGAGTGATGAGAGCACAGCTCATGGCGTACGCCCGAGTCGAGCTCGGTGTCAACATTTCCTGCAGACGGCTCTGCCATTTGCTGCTGAGGGGGTCTCTGTGACCGACAGCCGTCCCTTCATGTGCGAACAAGTTCCCATTCAGGGAGGGGGGGTTCACAGGGCGAGGGGGCCTCATCCCTGAAAACATCAATGAGTCAGTCAGTGTGTGGGCATTTTGTGGTTGAAATAAGATTGTATGTGTGTGTGTACTTTTGTAGGTGTGTTAGTATTGTGTGTGTACACCTTTGTGGATGTGTTGGGGTTATTTGTGTGTACCTTTGTGGATGTGTTAAGATTATGTGTGTACTTCTGTAGATGTGTTAGGATTGTGTGTGTGCACACTTTTGTTGTTGTATTAAGATTGTCTGTGTGTGTACCTTTGTGGCTGTGTTGGGATTGTGTGTGTACTTTTTAAGTGTGTTAAGATTGTTTATGTGTACCTTTGTGGTGATGTTAGGATTGTGTTTGTGTGTGAAGTAAGGACTGCATATGTGTGTGCGTGTGTAATTTAATGACTATGTTGTGATTATGTGTGTGTACCTTAATGACTACTGTATATTGGGATTGTGGGTGTGTACCTTTGTGGATGTGTAAGGATTCTGTATGTGTACTTTTGTCATTGTTCTAAGGTTTTGGTGCGTACTTTTATGGTTGTGTTATGATTGTGTGTTTGTACTTTGTGGTTGTGGTAAGATTGTTTGTGCATATTTGTGACTGTTTTAGGATTGTGTGTGTACCTTTGTGGTTGTGGTCAGGGTGTGTCCGGTGAAGGTCGTTGATGGAGTCGACAGAATGCAGCTCGATCTCTGTCAGATCTCTGTCACTGACCCGGTACAGCTGAGGAGTGGTCTGAGATGACGGAGGTCTGGACATCTCTGTATGTTCTGTGGGTACAGTAAACCCTCAGAGATCATCACTGTCTCATAAATCAACAGATTTTCAGTCAGTCAGCAACTTCTGAATATTAAAAGCCTAGCATTTGTTCAAAATGTATTACTGCTCAAAATGTGCGGTGACGATGACTCTCAGCTACAACCACATTAAACTTTAGCCTATCTGTAAAAATCACTGACTTGTAGTCATTTCTCTGGTGGCCAACCATCTTGAACTGGGTTTTTTCAAATGTTAATTAGTTGCAGATGTACATGCTTTGAGAGTTTCATAAAAAGTTGACCAGTGGGTCATGGCTGACTGTTGGACTGCTGACCTGTGCAGGGTCAAGGTGTACCCCGCTTCTTACCCAGTGACTGCTAGATACCAGCTCCCCCTGTAAAGAAAACTGTTAAAGAAAATGGACGGATAGTTTGTGAGATTTAAAATAATAAGAAACACAGTGAACACCAAAGTTCTACGTAAAAATATTGTGCATTGAGTCTCTCGTAAATGAGTCCCTGAGGCTCAATGGGATTAACCTGTATAAATAAAGGCTGAATGAATTGTGCAGCTCTTGGAGTATGTGTTGTGAATGACTTTCAGCTACAATCACATTAAAGTTAAGCCCATTCTCTGTAAAGCTGATGGAGTTGCAGCCATTTTGTATCTGCTAAAGTTGCTCAGAGATGATCATCTTGACTGAGGCTGACTCCAAAACTTAAACAGTTGGAGATGTTCATCAAGTGGGTACTTATTGAGAGTTTCATTAAAATCCATCAGGTGGTTCTGGAAATATTTTACAACAGATAAACAAACAAACGTCCACTCTTTCACTTTTGGTGGCCAACAATAAAAATACAAAAACCCGTCAAAATGAAAAACTTTGAGGCGCCATGTAAAGAATACAAACTAGCAAACTTTGGAATACTATTCTTAAACATTTGGGATGGGCATGGGTATATTGGTCAGTTTAATTGTCATTACATGACACCTAATTAAAAAATAACAATATTTATGTACTAAAAACGTATTAAAACAGATGTAGCTTTCAGGTTTTTATGCTGATTGTGATGATAAAATATAAAATGGTTGATACGGTCAGAATGTGATATCTGAAAAGGGAAAAAAGTTCAGCTTGTTATTAGACCTATTAATATAAGACATTATCATACCGGTAATGATACAATTCTGCTGGAGACTGATTCATAGGACAGAAGACATTCAGTTATGAATGAATCACTGCGAAAGATTATTTATTCTGACTCTTTCTGTTTGCCTACTTTACTTACCTGAAAATCAAAACACTAAAAATACCACAGCAGAGTCATTTTAATGGCATTCAGCTTACCTTATTTCACTGAAGAAGAAAAGCTGTTGTTTGTTTAGAGTCTGTTTCTTGTTCTTCAGCTCGTCCTCTTGTTCAATTCTCACATACTGAAACTGCTCACGTGTGTCCAAACCAACAAAAGCAGCAAGAAAACCACCTTTAAAAAAACTTTTTCCAGAAGCCTCTAAATAAAAAGTGCTCTATTAAAATCCTTATAGAAGAAAAACAAACAAAGAAGAAGCTGAATTAGTTTTGTGTTGGGGTCCAACTTTTTGTGACAGCAGCTATAGGAACCACAAAGCCAAGCCCTCTCTCGGCTGGTTTTGTTTGTGTCCAGATATTCTGTTTTAACCACCCAGCTGCCCTGTAGGAGAGAGTGGGAGAACCAGGGACATTTTCAGTCTGTTACCCCCTCCAAACATGCACATGCTCAGTTTCACAGGCCCTCTAGGTCGAAAATAGCACCGCAGACATGGGACTATTATTAGTTGTTCAGGCCAAAGGATGACTCAGTGACCTGGGTAAAGGCATGGTGGGAGACACATGGATAAACAGGGACACTCATACTGTACAGGCAAACAGATCTGACCATCTGACCATAATCTCAGTTAAAGGTTTCAGAAACGTAACAATCAGTGCTTCAATAAGTGCATAATAGTAATTAAAATTTTAAATTAAATGTGAGTTTAAGCAAAAACCCTTATAAAGTGTATCAAGACATTACAGCTTTGTATGTAACACTTTCCAAGGCAATAAAAAATAAAGTTCCACTATGTATGACATTTTTAGGACAGCATCTTCCATTTTTCTCATTTTTTGATTTTATTCTATTGAAGGTAAGTAGTATGCGTTATGTCTTAATATTTTCTGTTGTGTGCATGATTGGGAAATGATGCAAATTTGAGCATCATTGTTGTGATTTTGCAGGTGTCTCTGATGTCATTCTCTTATAGCCTCTTTAATAATGTTTTTACAGGCCAGTGTCTGTCTTGTTGACCCGTTCTGTAAATCTATTGGACTTGAATAAAAACTAAACTCTTCATTGTCTTCCTGCTGTCATATAATTATGTGGAGTCTTTAATTATGATGTTAATACACATGGCAAAGTTCATTCATTGACTCGTATTAAGATTCATAATAAATATACTGGACTGATAAGCAGAAATTAAAAGTAGTCTGATGATACTGCATACACATCAATAAACACACTTTGAACTCTTTTTAGGTTTTGTGCTGAACCTGACCTAAAGTTGTCTAGATGCCCAACAAATGCACAATCCCACTTTAACAAATATATTTTATAAATTGTAAACTTTGCTTTCACATTTGTATTCGATGTATTTAGACAGGGTTTCACAGAAAGACAAAGTTTAGATGTTGAAGCAAAGCTGATCTTATGGTCCAAAGGGGTGTAAATGCAAAATAAATAAATAAATACATAAATAAATATCCCTTTATCAAACTGTTGACAATGAATTTTTCAAATCAAAGCTAAGTGTGTCCTCTGGTGCAAAAAAGTTTTTCTGCAGTCTCGTTTCTCCCCGGAAACATGTAGTCGTTTTAGAACATAATGTTTTTGCTTAATGTTTAATAACTATTCCCACTGAACAGAGCCTAAAGCCTAATGTCTCCTCACGATGAGTTATTTTATTTTGGTAACGGATCTTAGTGTCTCGTCTTACAGACGACTTCCGGTGTCAAAAACAAACAAACAAACAAACTACTACAGTCATAAATAGGTTTCTGTTTGTCAACAGTTTTATTGTTTTGTGACTTAAAATATGGGTTAGGGTTAAATAGAAAATAAAATCAAACAATTTTTTAAATATAAATCCTTTTTAACCCAAAACCACAAGTCACTTATTTTTATTTTTAATGCTCGAACTTTAGAAAATCAAATGACCCGAGCACATCAAAGAACTGTTTCTTATAATATATTTTGACACCGGAAGTTCTCATCAAGGCTAGCGGAACAGAAAAACCAATAAAAAGTGTGGAGAAAAAAAAAACCTACAGTAATTTCATAGAGTCGTAAAATGCTAGTAAACTCAACTACGTTTCCCACAAGCCTTTGCGTCTCTCTTCCTGTATTCATTAACTGCGCTTCATTTGTTTTGCCAGGAATGTAAAGAGTTTGGAAAGGCAGCGGAAGTGCTAATCCGTGGACCGTAGAGCGGCTGTGGGGAGAGAACTCCGGTGCCATGATGTGGGCTCGGCTGATAGTTGGAGTCGGGGGTTCGGGGGTCGGACTGCGGGCTTCCAGGGCAGGTTTGGAGCGGGTGGTCGGAGCCGCATGTGCAGGGAGGAGGCAGCAGCAGAGACAGGCGTCCAGTACAGAGGTATGAGGAGCATGACACTCCTCTGTCGCTGCAAGTGCTTTTGAAGCACTTTTAATAGCAGCCAACGTTTTTAGGTGTAGACAAGAACATTGATGCAGGTGCATCTTGCTCAGTTCAGAGACATGGTGGATTTTAGTTTTTGAGTCCAAACATAGTCAGATCCAAATTGAGCGTGCTTACACTTGCAACGTGCATGCAGAATAAATGGGACATTTCAACAACACAGCAGTGTTTTGCAGCAGTTAACAGTTCATGCAGAAGTAATATCCCGGCAGACTGTTCCTCTCCGTCATTCTGCCTGTTTCACCTCACTGAGCTGCACAGAATGTGTTTCTTTTAAAATATAGGACGGTCTGACTCGCCACTGTTGTCAAAGTGCACCACTGCCAGAGTGCTGATAAGCCCCCCTTCACCAGCTGATTCAAAGGTCACAAGATAGCTGAAGTCACAGATTATAAATGGAGACAGATAGGAGGCTGTCTGAAGAGCTTTTTGTTTCATTCATTTTGTAAATTAACCTTCTTCACTTGGTGTTTGACTTGATGCTTTCCTCGTCCAGGCCGCTGTCAGGAAGACTCCGCTCTTTGAGTTCCACAAGAAGCATGGTGGGAAGATGGTGGAGTTTGCAGGCTGGAGTATGCCGGTTCAGTACAAAGACAGCCACATCGCCTCACACATGCACACCAGAGAGCACTGCTCCATCTTTGATGTTAGCCACATGTTGCAGGTAAAGTAGAAGCTGAAACATCCATGGAAACACACAAAAGGCTCTTTTACAAGATGCCTCAGTCATGTGACTTTTGAATGGACGGATGCAGCAAGGGGGGTCAAAGCCAGTCCACCCCTGGTATGCCTTTGTGCCGAGAAGCAAGGTAGTAGCAGAGGCAAAATGGCTGACATAAGCTGGTGCTGTGAACACACAATTAATGCATTGTGCTCCATGTTAACCCACCTGAGTTCAGCTCCATGCCTCTTTGGAATATATGATGCTCACTTCATTTCTGAAAGCTCACATCTGTGCAGGATGTGGTTAGCTTCATCTGGGGTTTATGAACGGCCTAAGGAAGCATAGAGATGGAATGGTCTGAGCAGCCATTTTGCAGAAGTGTTTTATGAAAGAGCCTAAACAATTTAGACACAAACCATAAAACTAAAAAAATATATATATAGTAGCCAAGTTATTATTTTTTTTTCCCCCAATCGCACAACCTAACATACTATGTTTACGTATGTCTCTTTTGTTTGTTTCTATATATTTTTTGTCTTTTTCTGTCAGACCAAAGTTCATGGCAAAGACCGAGTGAAGTTCTTGGAGTCTCTGGTTGTTGCAGATGTTGAAGAGCTAAAAGACAATCAGGTAGATGAAAGACTTGTCAGGTTTTATCCTGTAAGTTCACAGGTCACAAACAAAAGTTGCTCAGAAGCCAGAATTTCTTTGAACCGTCTCAGCAAAGACTGACCTTGGATGCTTTTTGAAGGCTATGTATCTTTTAACTTTGTTTTATTTATTTACATACATGCTAATTGTTGTACAGTAAGTGTGTGTAAATGTAACTTGCTGAAGGAGGAACTTTCAAAAGTGCATCTGCCAACATTGCAAGTATTTAGTGGTCACCAATAAAATCTTCTTCTTTCGGCTTTTCCGTCTTCAGGGGTCGCTACAGTGAGTCGTCCTCTGCATCCTCCATCTCACTCCAACCACCTCCATGTTTCTCTCTAACTGCATCCATAGATCTCCTCTTTGTCTTTCTCCTGGCAGCTGCATTTCTAACATCCTTCTACCAGTATACCTAAGGTCCCTCCTCTGGACATGTCCAAACCATCTTAGTCTGGCCTCTCTAACTTTATCTCTTAGTTGTTCAACATGTGCTCTACCTCTGATGATCTCATTCCTAATCTTATCCATCCTTGTTACTCCTAAGGAGAACCTCAACATCTTCATTTCTGCCACTTCCAGTTCTTTCTCTGTCTTTTTGTCCATGTCTCCGTCTCCAGACCATACAACATAGCTGGTCTCACCACTGTCTTGTAAACTTTTCCTTTGACCTTTGCTGACGCCCTTTTGTTGCAAATCACTCCTGAAACTTTTATCCATCCACTCCATCCTGCCTGGACTCTCTTTTTCACCTCTTTACCACATTCCCCATTTCCCTGGACAGTGGACCCCAAGTACTTGATGTCTTGCACCTTTGTGATCTCTGCTCCTTGTATCCTCACTGTTTCACTGGCCTCCCTCTCATTCACACACATGTACCCTGTCTTACTACGGCTGACTTTCATTTTTTTTCATTCAAGTGCATACCTCCACCTCTCCAAGTTCTCTTCCACCTGTTCCCTGTTCTCACCACAGATCACAATGTCATCTGCAAACATCATAGTCCATGGGGATTCCTGCCTGACCTCATCTGTTAGTCTTTCCATCACCAGAACAAACAAGAAGGGGCTCAGAGCTGTTCCTTGATGCACTCCTGCCTCCACCTTGAAGCCATCTGTCACTCCTACAGCACATCTCACCACTGTCCTGCTGTCCTCATACATGTCCTGTACCAGTCTAAAATACTTTTCTGCCACTCTAGATTTCCTCATCCACACCTCCTCCCTTGACACCTTGTCATATTTTTCTAAATCCACAAAGACACAATGGAGTTCTTTCTGACCCTCTCTGTACTTCTCCATCAGCATTCTCAAAGCAAAGATGGCATCTGTGGTGCTCTTTCTTGGCATGAAACCATACTGCTGCTCACAGATAGTCACCTCTCGTCTAAGTCTTGCTTCTACAACTCTCTCCCAGACCTTTGTGTGGCTCATCAACTTAATTCCCCTGTAGTTGCTACAACTCTGTACATCAGCCTTATTTTTAAAAATAGACACCAGCACACTTCTTCTCCATTACTCAGACATTTTCTCACCATGAAATATGCCATTCAATATTTGAGTCAAAACCTCACTGCCGTCTCTCCAAGACATTTCCAAATCTCCACTGGTATGTCATCAGGTCCTACTGCCTTCCCCTTCTTCATTCATTCCTGAGCTTTCTGGACTTGGCCCTCACTAATCTTTCCCACTTCCTCCTGGTCCACAGTTTCTATAACCTCTACTCTTCTTTCTCTTTCATCCTCTTCATTCTTTAACTCTTTAACAAAGTACTCTGTCCATCTTCCCATCACGCTCTCCTCACTTGTTAGAACATTACCATTCCTATCTTTAACAAGCCTAACCTGCTGCACATCCTTTCCAGCCTGATCCCTCTGTCTCGCCAATCTGTACAAGTCTTTTCACCCTCTTTAGTTTCCAGCCTCGCATAAAGCTCATCATACGCCTTCTGCTTTGCCTTTGCTCCCCCCTTCTTTGCTTTATGTTGCATCTCTTTATATTCCTGTCTCCTTTTTTTCAGTCCTCTCAATGTCATATTTCTTCTTGGTTAACCTCTTTCTTTGAATAGCTTCCTTCATTTCACTATTCCACCACCAGGTTTCCTTATCTTGTCTCTGTCCAGATGACAAACCAAGTACCTTCCTACCTGTCCCTCTAATTACTGTTGCTGTAGCAGCCCAATCATCTGGAAGCTCATTCTTAACACCCAGAGCCTTTAACAGCTACTCTCTGAATTTCTCACAACATTCTTCTTTTCTCAGCTGCCACCATTTGGTCTTATCTGATTTTACTCTTTTTCTCTTCACAACAACAGCCATTCTACACACGATCATCTGATGCAGTCTGGCCACGCTTACCCCTGTCACAACCTTACAGTCCCCAATCTCCCTCAGGCTTCCTCTTCTATCGTCACCAATCGAATACTCATCCAAATTCACGTTTCATTTAAAGTTTTGTTCCTTCTTTCTTGCCTGCTGTAAACCCAGTTTATTACCTCTTGCATTATTTCTGCTATCAGTTATTTTATCTAAATGCTCCACTCTGTTTAACAAGTTTTTGCTAACTTTATATGTTGCTTGCTGTTTGGTGCAATGTGAACTGAAAGTTGTTCTTACTTACACTGCAACAGGCATGATCATAAAAAGTGTGCAACATGTTTTAATGGAGAACAATGATCTGCTTCAAAAGACTCATCAGTTTCTGTAGCCACTACAAAATGCATTTGCTGATCAATATAATAAGAAAAATTTATATTTTCACCTTTTGTATGAGTAATGCATTCTGTTTTCATTCATATACCATTAAATACCATTAAATAGTTAGATAAGCATCTAAACATGTGAGCTACAATAAAACATGAGTTCAGTTTTACCTTCAAGCCCTGACTCCGTTTTCTCACCTCTCAGGGAACGTTGACACTCTTCATCAATGAGAAAGGAGGAATTATTGATGATCTCATCGTGACGAAGACTGATCAGGGTTACCTGTATGTCGTCTCCAACGCAGGCTGTGCCGACAAGGACTCGGCTCTTCTGAAGGTGAGGGAATCTGTGTTGACAGATAAGCTTGAACTAAGTTAGAACAAGTCTGATGAGTGTGTTTTATGTTTAGGCCAGACTGGCAGAGTTCAAAGCTGCAGGTTTGGATGTAGAGCTGGAGTTTCTCGACGAAGCCCTGGTTGCTCTGCAAGGTGGAACATTCACTGTACCGTTTTAGTTTAATGTACATTTTATTTTTTTAACTCATCTGTTTGCTACAAGTTGTTCTTCTGAACCTTACGGTACTTTCTTCCTCAAATTTATGCAGCATCAAATATGTAAATACTCAGTTTTGTGCCACCAGGTCCGACCATGTCTCGGGTTCTTCAGGAAGGGCTGAAGGACGACCTCAGTAAGCTAACCTTCATGACATCCACCCTGACCTCCGTGTTTGGGATTCCCGGCTGCAGGCTCACTCGATGTGGGTACACTGGAGAGGACGGTGTGGAGGTGAGCGTCTCTGTTCCTAAAGATTCAGTTTTATTTTAAGATTTGTTTATTTCTGACGGTTCAAATAGACTCGCATGCAGTAATGTGGCAATTTTCAGTTTATTACAGTTAAAATTTGATTAGAGACCGTCTTCTAAAGGCCAAAAGCTAAGGCCACCGTGTGATGAGAAGGGTCAGAGATGTGATGACTCAGCTACTAAAACACCAAATTTACATAAATTCCAATATATATTTCTATGACACAATTCTCTCCCATAACATGATACTAATAAGTTGTGTGGTTTAACTCTGACTCATTACCATATTGTTTCTTAATGTTATGAATACATTTCTCTCAGGAAACCGAGTTTGTTTAATTCAGATGAATTAAATGTTCAGTTTTCAGGATGAAATTGGTAATAATCATTTGTCACTCTTTGTGCGTCCCAGATTTCTGTTCCTCAGTCCAGAATAGTTGAACTGACAGAGAAGCTGCTGTCCAACAGTGAGGTGAAGCTGGCCGGTCTGGCTGCCAGAGACAGCCTTCGACTGGAGGCGGGGCTTTGTCTCTATGGCAACGACATAGATGAGAGCACCACGCCTGTGGAGGCCAGCCTCGTTTGGACAATAGGTGATGTTTTATTTATTTTTTATTCAAAGTAGTTTTGTTACCTTAGTTGTTTTTTTGTGCTAGGCTGTAGCAGAAAAACGTCTTTAAATTATTTGTCTAGATATTGATATTAATTAATGTTTAGGTATAAAACTGAAAACTAGTGCGACTTGTAAAGTATTTGCCTATTCACTTCAGTTTCTTTGTCTTGCCTCCATGTAGAGATGCAGCAGGTGACGCTATCTCCCTCTCATTTTTTTTTACCACTACCAAAAAATCGATTTGAGGCTTTGCACTTATTTATTTTTTATGTAAAAACAAATTCATTAAACTTGTTTTTTACAATACTTAAAAACTAAACTAAAACTTTGAAAAAGGTCCCTTTGGTTTTTCTTCTCGCTTACAGGAAAACGAAGGCGACAGACCAAAGATTTTCCCGGTGCTGACATCATTGTACCTCAGATCAAAGCCAAGGCAACCAGAAAGAGAGTCGGTCTGGTGTCGGATGGCCCTCCGGTCAGGCAGCACACACCCATCCTCAGCCCTGATGGACAAGTCATAGGTGAGAAACCAAACAAGATGGACATCGCTGTATTTCACTCCAAAGTGAGATCAGACCAGTGAAATAAAAATAAACAAAAAAGGTATCAAATTTGACATGAAACTAATACGGACAGCTTGAATTTAGTCATATGAACTGCATGCTTTATTTTGTCTGTGTCTATTGTAATTCTTGATATGTCCACTGGGGGTCGTCAAATAAAAAAAAAATACACTGGCTATTTAAAAATATTTATTTTATCATTACATTGTTAGAATTGTGAAGGCCACAAATCTTTTACTGCATCAGCTATATGTGAATTCAAACATTTTTACGAATAGATAAATGTGAACAAAAGTTCAAAAGTACCAGAACAGATTTACAGCAGAAATCAGAGAACAAAGTGATTTTCCCTTTAACGCTTTTTTCTCTAAGTGTTTGTAAGGCAGGTTGCTTGGTAGACATTATTTCAGAATTAACTCATGAATTTTTATTGATTTATTTATATATGTATATATAAATTCATAGGGAATGTGACCAGTGGCTGTCCATCTCCATGCCTGAAAAAGAACATCGCCATGGGCTACGTCGATGCAGCATTCGCCAAGAACGGAACAGTCATCCAGGTTGAAATTAGGAAGAAAAACCAGCCGGCAACTGTCAGCAAAATGCCCTTCGTCCCCACTAACTACTTCTCTGGTTAAGACACATTCACATGAAAAGACTGGAGCATTCTTCTGCTTTAACCTGCATTTAACAATGTGACCTCCTGCTGTTTAACTCCAGCAATGCAAAACCATTAATATAAACTAATACTATAAGTTTAGGACAAAAAAATAAAACGCCTTTACCAGCTGGATGTGGCTGTATTAAGCACTATTAGGTTTTGAGAATAAATCATGGTACAATATTTCTGTCATTTATGGGCCAAACATAACTACTTTTTGTTGTGGTATATTTTCTCCCTTTTAAAGCAAATTTACATTCCTAATAATGTTGTAAAAGTTTGGGAGGACATATCAAAGCTTGATTATTATCCTTTAATCTAAAAACCCATGTCTGGAGCATCCATTATGTTTACCCACTTTTTCATTTTCACGTCACGGGGGTCACTGGTGCCCATATCTAGCAGTCACTGTGTGCGAGAGGCGGGGGACACCTTGGACAGGTCTCCAGTCCATCACAGGGTCTGTCTGGAGTGTGATAAACAGAAATATGCTACCAGTTTTGTTTTCATAACGTTGCTGTTTTATATGAGCAGCAATCTCATCTAGGTTTTGTTTAGCCGTAGAAAAAAAGTGGATATTAACTTTTATACAATAGTTCTTAAATTTAAACAGAAGTTTTGTGTAAAAATGTGTTATGTCTTTCATATTAAATTTGGATATTGCTTAGATTTTTTATGATTAGAAAACAAATACTGCTGATTTCTACCTTGAAGCTGTGCTATTATGTGAGACTCCTTGATTTTTTTGGCCAGCTGGATGTTTTTTTTTTTTTATTACAAAGAAACATTTCTACTTTTGAATAAAGAGGTTTCTTTACTATTTGGTCTTTTATTTTGGTGAAATTAAGTTTTTTGAGCAGGTATCTACAGTGTCAATCAGGACTTTGTACGTAAATAAACATATTTCTAACTATCCCTAGTCTGAAAAAGGCAAGCTATAAAAAACAGTATATTCCAAAATCTCAGTAGTAACCTGTGCATTTAAAATGATATGAAAAACAGAGTTTTGGCCTGTAGTGCATCCATAACTGATCACTTGATCATAACTTGGGAGAACAACTTCATTACGGAGTTTTTCTTTTGCATCAATGTCTTTTTTTTTACTGCTGTGTTGTGCAAAAACCTGTCAGGTAAAGATGAATGTGTCTAAACATTTGCATACGTACCAATTAAAAAAATTCATAATGAAGTTTTTATGCATGCATTTAACTTACAAAATCCAGGGTGATACTGTATCCATCACTTGAAATGTTTTATTAATATGTATAAAATATACCTGTATATTTTAAAACAAGTTATGTACTTTAAATTTGAAAACATTCATTAAGGGTGAAAATTTAACTGTTGGAAAGTTTTATGTAGAGTTCAGTCTTTATTATTCATGTTTTTAAATGTTTCCAATACTTGCTCAAGTTTACACAAAGCCAAAATATTCTGTTTTTAGTTAATTAATTAATCAAATCAAAGAAAATGTATAATGTGTCAGTTTTAGCCATTGGATATTTTCTATTAAAACCTTACAATAAATAAAACATAACAGCAATGCTGTCATTTCATTAATAAACAAAAGGTCATCACATACATTAACTACCCCATTTCTTACATTTTACACAATATAGAAAACAAGATATCTTGTTTATCATACGCAAGTTAACACAAGGTCAACAGTGCAGTGACATGTTCAAGATGAGAAGAACTGATTCAACTTTCTAAAAAAACAAAACAACCTAAAGCATGGCATGCAATAAGGGTACAAAATAAAATACCAAAAAGTGAAAAATAAATATATTTACAAGATCCAAAAGAAATATACCGATAGTAAATGACAACATGGTAGAATATAACGGTGCAAGTAGGATAAATTAGTATAAGTATTTGAGTAGTAATAGCTGAAATGTACATGATACATACAGTATATATTTAATATGCACACTATGTTGGAGTAGCTCTGTTACATTCATTATGAGTTGTTGCTTATGAAGGCTTTAATTCCTCTTTTTGTGGATGCAAATTGCTTTTTCATATGATTATTTCCTCTGGTATCAGATGCTGTGCACATGGGAGGATTTTTACTGAAATCTTTTTACTTTTGGGCATTTGTTATGATGCGTAACCATGGCAACAATGTGGTTTTTAACAACCACAAGCGGCCGATTAACATCTTAAAAGCTCAAATACCTCAACTACAGTCCCAAATCCCAAATGAGTTGGAAAGGAGGCGCCATGGATGAATTTCCGCCAACCTGACGGTGGTGCTCAAGTACCTGACCACCGAGATCCTGGAGCTGGTGGAAAACTTGGCTTGTGACAACAGGAGGACCGGGATCGTCCCCCGGCACCTTCAGCTGTCTGTCCATGGTGATGAGGAGCTTGGCAGACTGCTGGGAGGAGTGACCATCGCTCAGGGAGGAATTCTGCCCGGCATTCGGACAGTCCTGCTGCTCAGTAGGACTGAGAGGCCCGCTGGATCTGACAGCAATCTGGATCTGGGTCTATTCTTCGGATTCGCTGCAGGAGATCCTTCCTGCCATCAGCTGTCAGCATCTAACAACTCTTGAATGAAACCAGGATGATGAGCTACGACAACACTTAATTTCCCTCTGGGATTAATAAAGTATTTTTGAATTGAATTTGAATTGAATTTGATTAAATACTTGATTTCCTTATTCTGTGAATTGTACATTTGAGTTTGTATTTTTTTGAACCACGCATAATAGTGAAATCATTGGGACTAACCCTTGAAAAATAGAAACCTTTGTTATTAAGGCTGTGGCTGAGTGGTTAGAGCAGTCATCCTCCAATGCGAGAGTT